GCATCTGTCTTTTTCAAACTGGAGTGCTGCATCCTTAGGGTAAATTCCTAGAAGTGGAATTCCTGGGTCAAATGGTAAGTCTATTTTGAGCATTTTTGAGGAACCTCCATATTGCTTTCCATAATGGTTGAACTAATTTACATTCCCACCAGCAGTGTAGGAGGGTTCCCCTTTCTCCGCAACCTCGCCAACATTTGTTGTTGTTTGTCTTTTGGATGGTGGCCATCCTTACTGGTGTGAGGTGATATCTCATTGTGGTTTTAATTTGCATTTCTCTGATAACTAGCGATGTGGAGCACCTTTTCATGTGTCTGTTGGCCATCTGAATTTCTTCTTTGGAGAACTGTCTGTTCAGCTCCTCTGCCCATTTTTTAATCGGATTATTTGCTTTTTGTTTGTTGAGGAGCATGAGCTCTTTATATATTTTGGATGTCAAGCCTTTATCGGATCTGTCATTTATGAAAATATTCTCCCATACTGTACAACCTCATGTGGTAGTTGTGTAGGTTTGACTTCTTAATCCCTCCCAGGCTTAGCAGCCTGCAGTCAGGTGACCCAGATGAACTAACCAAACTCAGGGGTTTCTGTGATCAGCTGTTCCCTCCTGTGTGGTGACAGGCAGGGTGAGATGTCAGCTGCGTGCCTGCTTGACAGCAGCATGTTGGCAAGAATTTGATTGCAAGAGAAGAACCCGGGGTTGGCAGGGGAATTCCTGTTACATCAAAATATTGAGAAAATGATTGTTGAGAGCAGAATACCTAGAGCTATAGTGCCCCAAGAGCCATCTGTACTCACTGGGACACTGTGTGTATAACTAAAAACAATGTGCACAGGATGGTTGAAGCCACTCTTTTAGTCCTGTGCATGTGCGCCAGTCATGACTGTAGCCTGCAAGGAGAGTTCAGTCTCCTTGATTCACTGGGATGTAGCCAGTGTGCTGAGCATCTGCTGCTCTGTCTCTCTTTCTCCTCTGCCCTCTCTTCCCAGCCCAAGGCAGTCACCCTTCACAAGTAGGACGGTTTGTTGCCCCTTGATTTCAGGGACCACTCCCTACCGCTGCTGTCAGCACCAGCGGAGAAGTCATGGCATCTGCCCCCCCTTGGTTTGTTTCCGTCCTCTCTGTACCCCCTGACACAGTGTGGAGCAGGAGGAAGTCCTGCGGCCTCCCAGGATCCCTGTGCTTTGACTCCTCTGACGTGCCAGGAAGGGTCTGACTGCTACCAGCCATACAACGAGGGAAAATTCCCACTTGCTGGACATGAAGTTGACGGTGCTCTGAATGGAGCCTATGAAAGCTCCCATTCTGAAGGGGATGAGACTCCACCTGGTCTCCCAGGTAGCCGGTATATTCTTTTTTCAGCACAACCTGTCTAGATTGAGACTTTCAGTTCTCTTATAGCCTATAGTTATGCACTGATTTGAACACTTTCTAGGACTGAGTTTGAAATAGGCCATCCATGAGTCGTTGATGTTTTCTCATATCCTATTTTAAGGGACACCTTTTTCATATTTGTTGCATTGCAAAATCAAGACTGCCCTGCCTCACTCATATTTATCTCTGCAACTCTGGCATGGGAGGTGACTTCTTGACCCTCTGATTTTGAATGTTTCTTCAGATCCACTTGCAACACTTTAATTTCCATTGTTAATCCATATCCCATGATTTTTTAAATGTCTCTCCAAGGCTATTGGCAGTCTTGTCCGTATATTGGGAAATGTCACTCTCCTGGCTCAGTTCTCTCCACCCAGAGTCTATCTCCTTTAATTTGTATTATCTCATCTCATTTCAGAAGTCACTTTGTGTATACCGTGACTCGAGGCAGGGCCTTGGAAATTCCCTATCCCATAAATAGCCACTATTTCTTTGTAGCATTTATGATTTTTCTATCTGGAGTTGCATAGGTTCCACTCATCAGTCTAATGTGAACATATACATTGAACCGTTAACAAACTGCATTTCAGATGGAAGAAGCCTCAATCTATCAGACTCCTGCTGCCCTTATGGGAGCACTGCCGTTTTCTCACCTGAAGAACTGGAAGCCTGTTTTCCTCTGGATATAACCAGCGAGTACTGTTAATCAAGGTGATCAAATGCCAACTGGGAACCGAGGTAGACTCTGTATTCTTTGAATCCCACATGCCTGGCTGAGCTGAGAGACGTCTCTGTGTGTAGGCCCTGTACAGACATACTGATTGAATCAGGCTCCAGGATTGAGCTGTAGGCACAGGAACCAGGTGGGTGAGGAGCTCTGATCTCTTTTGTCCCAGGACATGCCCACATCACCTTGGCCCCACTGTCAGGTCTCAGGACCAAAGGCAGGCATGACAAACGAGTCACTTCTGCAGCACAAGCACAGAGGATGTTGGTCAGACCTCCTGACTCGGACGTAATGTGTCTTTAACTGCAGTGCTCTAAGATTCACTCCTGAGCCACAATCCTTAAAATTCTTTGCCTCCTGCAAAAAATTGGCATAGTTGTCTATACCTTTGTTGAAGATACAACTCAGGGTTCCCTGCTCTCAGTCCCATTCCCTATCTCCTTTAGTTTGGCTTGTTTTCCTAAGCAGTCTTTGAAAACCAGTCATAAACCCTTCTACCATTACCTGTTCACATGGTTCCTACAGCCAAGCTCTGTCTTGGCTCTCTCACCATGAATAGCCGAAGTTCTATCTACCACCAAAGACTGATTTTTATTTGAGGGTTTTTGGATTCCGTCCATCAGTCTGGTCTCTGTGTATGTCATCCCCAAGCATTTACTTACCAGGCATCTAATTAGAGAAGGCTGAATAAGGTGCTAATTCTTTCAGAATGAAGGCAGGCCAGGTCCCCTGCTGTGGGAAGATCTGTTGCAGGGCTTGCACAGCCCTGAGGCAGAGAGGTTGTGATGATGATCTCCTGGATGCGGCCAATGCCCAGTCCTCGGGGCAGGAGACCTAGCCAGTTATCACAATACAGTATTTGAGACCTCCTGAAATATTCTTTCACTGAACCTATTCTTACACTGAGGGTATCTGTGTCCTGTGTTAGGACTGCACATTGGGATAGTCATGTGTGATGTGGGATCTGCTTATTGTGACTGGCCTTGTCTGAATTTATTTCTAGCAAATCAAATTGATCCTGAAGAGTAGGAAGGCCAAGACCAGATACACCTCAGGTAACTGAAGAATCAAGGGTTGTTATTTCCATGATGACATGTGGCAACTACATTTCAAGGGAAAAACAGAAAGTGCTGATTTGACCCATTTTCATCCGTTCTGTGCTCATGAAGAATCCATTTTAACAATATTGTCTTTCCTCACAATGGCACATGTAAGTCCTTTCTTTGTCCCTCAATTTGAGTGACCTGCAGCCAGCTGAAATAGGTGACCTAATCAACCACAGGTATTGGATTCCCTGTAGTTCCTTGTCCTCTGCTTTTGTTAAAACCAGAGTGACAGGCGTATCTGCTTTCTGCCTCTTTGGGGTTAGCACATTGCTGGCATATCATAGTAGAAAAGGAATGAGAAAGAAGTCCTGCATCTGAGTATTAAGAGAAAGAGGCCTTCAAGACATGTGACCTCCTGGTGTCAATAATACCTTTAAAGCCTGCATTTACTTTTGCACTGAATGTTGGGTCAACAGAATGTATCCCAAATATTGAAGCTACCTGTATGAATCTCCATGTGTGCTGTGAGTCATGACTTCCATGCAGCATGGTTGAGCTTTGTTGCTCATAAGCTAGTTACGTGGCCAGTGCACTGAGGACCTACTGTTCTTTCTCTCTCTCTCTGCCTTTCTCTCTGTCTCTCCCTTTCTCTCTGTGTCTACTGCTCCACACTCTGTCACATTCTCTCACTGTGGGTGTGCCACTTTGCTGTGACTACGCTGCTGTCCCTCTTGGCAACACTGGCTAGGCTGGTGTGGGATCTGTTTTTGTTTCAGTCCTCAGCCCTACATCCTCCATACTCTTCCACGGGGAGCTGCGGGAGGTCGCACAGCATGACATCCCACAGGACTCACTGGATGGTTGCTATCTGACTTCCTCAGTTCTTCCTGACCTGTGTAACACCCATTGCCCTTATAGGAGCTCAGCCATCAGCTCATTTGAGGAACTGGAAGTCTGTTCTGTTCTGCATGCAGCCAGTAAGTATTCCACCGCTGAAGTGATAAACCTCCACCTGAACTCCCAGGTAGACCCCGTTGTTTGGTATCCAGCACCTTTGGCTTTGTTGAGATTTCTCATCACTGTGTGTAAGCCCTGTGGTCACAGTGGTTTGAATCAGGTTCTAAGATAGAGTTATAAGCACAGACCTCAGTGAGGCAGAAGCTGCCCTTACTTCCATGTCCCAGGACAAGCCTAGGATGCTTTGAGCCCAATTTTGGACCCAGACAAAAGTGATAAACTCACATCATAGCACATGGACAGATGTATGTCTTTGCTCCTGATTTTCATCAAATGCCTCTTTTCACCTTCTGTGCTCTCATTTTCTTTCCCTAACAATGTCTCTTGAGTTTCTAGTCTTTCTGAACATGTGGCAGCCTTATCTACATCTGTGGATTTATCTTTGCGCCAGGTTCACTGCTGTCATCCCCAGTGTCAGTCTCCTCTAAGTTGGCTGTCTCAACCAAGCAGTCACTTGAGTCTCTGGACATAAACACCTCTAGGGTCATCCTGGTTATAAGTGTCCCAGAAGCATGGTAAAGCCCTGCCATTCCCTCACTCAGTTCTGTGTACCACCAGTTCAGAGTTTTTAGATACCATCCATCAGTCTAGTCTCTCTGTGAAAATTACACTCAGCCATCAACAGGTATGCTAGTTCCCCAAAATCTGGGAAGAGATGTCTCACTCTTCATACAGACTGTGCATGAGGGCCCACTAGGTCAGGGAGATATTGCCAGATAGCCCAGGAAAGCAAACCAAGGCACTTTCTGAAGACACAACCTGAGGCCCTTGGAATAGTCCTTATACAATACTTTGTTTTCACATTAGGGATATTTATGTCCCTGCCCTGGCATTGGACACTGGATTATTAATGTACAATGGGGTATCTGTTTAATGTGACTGGCCCTGTCTGAATTTATTTGTAGGAAATCATACTAACCTGGAAGAGGAGGAGGAAGACCAAGACCACATTTTTTCCAGGTAACCCTGAAGAATTGTGGGTCTTCATTCAGTTTTGACGTCTGATGATCTCCATTCTAGGAAAATCAGGAAGTACTGTATATATCTATTTCACCCATACAGATAGCCACAAAGTGTCCATTAGCAATGTTGTCTGTTTTCCCTTTGGTACTTGTATGGGCCCCTTTATTCATCACTCTCAAATTTAGTAACTTGATGCAGGTGTCATAATCAGTCATAGGATTTTTTGCATTTGATTGCTCTACCTATTGTACAAAGCCAGCACGGGATGCCCATCTGCCTTTGCCTGACTGGCATGACCATATGAGCAGGTATTCCATGATAATGAAAGTGACTAGAAAAAAAACCCTGTCATGTCTCAGTATTTAGAGAAATAGACCTTGTAGACACAAGATTTTAGGAGTCTGCAATGCTGTCCGAGCCTGTGCCCCCTGGGCTGGGGCATGCAAATGTCAATAAAATCTGTGCAGTAATGTTGAGCCACCTCTGTGGTTTCTGTTGTGCTGTGTGTCATGAGAGCTCTGTATTGTGGTAGTTCAGTCTCCTTCCTCATGGGCTTGTACACTGGACAGGGCTCTGAGCACTTCCCGCTCTTCCTCTCTCCCTCCTTGTCTTTCCTGTTCCCACTGCAACCAAACTCAGGCCCTGAGAGAGGAGGATTGCTTTATCTCCCTTCACAGGGGCTTCCCATTTGTTTACTGGGACCAGTTCCTTATCCTTCCCATCTAACTGGCTGGGACTCTGCGTACTAATCCTGCTTATTTAATCATTGATCCTCCCTGCCCAGTGAGACTCAGTTAGGAGCTGCTGATGGTAAAAGAGAAGGAAGTCCCACAGGACGCAGTGCATGAACGTTATTTGACTTGCTCGAGGGTCTCTGACCTGCTGGCCTCCTATAGGCCTTCCAGAAGTGCCTCATCGACACCTGATGTGCAGCAAGTCTTCATGGTGCTGGAGGTAGACAGTGAGTACTCCTGTTGTGAAGGGCATAAACTCCTGCTGGGTCCCCAAGAACCTCTGTATTCTCTGTATCCAACACCCTGTGTGGGCTGAGAGATGCATCCCTGCAAACAGGCCGTGTAGACTCCTACTGGTTTTAATATTGCTCTTAGATTCAATTTTCAAAAGGCACATGATTGTGGGTCAGGCAATTTTCTCTTCTTCTTCTGTCATCTGGCCCCTCTCACAAGTGCAGGCTGTTGGCACCACATCAGGCCAGAGATGGGAAATGGAGGGATGATGGCCGAATCTCAGCTGCCACCATCTCACCTGGAGAAATTTGTGTCACTCACCTCATTTTATTCCGGATAAGACTTTTTATCCTCATGAGATTACAATGACATTAGTACTTCCTGAGTAGTTCTTAAAGCATCTCTGGCTTCCCACAGAGTCTTTCCACTGCAGTCTGCTGTGTATTTGCAACATATGTTCTATTGTTCCCAAGTCCAAAGTGTTTCCCCTCGGGGTGCCTACCTCCCTGTGAAGCATTGAGAAATGAGATCCTGAACAACAAATTCTGCCTCTGTCCAAGGTTTCAGGGAAGTTATAACTCTGGCTCTGCTTTGACAGCCTCCATAAATGGCTGTGGTTTCACCTTTGTGCAGCCCCAATGATTTCTTCCATGTGTGGCCTATAATTTTAATCATGTGTCTCGTCTCTGTGTTCTAATCTAGCACAAACCATCAACAACCTGTATGACTTATGGGCCCTGGCCTGATTTATGAACAAAGCATAGTGGCTCCCCACTCCATGATCTCCAGAAATCATTTTTTCTCATGCAGGCTATGTTTTGGACTTCTCTTTCGGGCAAAGCAGAGGGTTCTTAGGAAACTTTACTCATCAAATCATCTTGTAGGAAAAGCAAGAACTCTGTGATGTTCCTTACTCTATCTTAATATTTTATAGTGAAATTGGCTATGAAAAATTTTGTCCCCCCTCTAAGTGCCTTTTCATGCTAGACCATCTCTTTCCTGTTTCTCATTCTTCCCTGAGCTGGAAATAAATAAAGGCTTCCTCAGGATCACAGCGATTCACAAAGTAGAAATGAAAGTTTTCTGCATCTGTTCTCTGCTGTGCCCCTTAGGAAGTGAGCTCCTTGTTCCCTGTCACCCACTCAGCTCACAGGGACCCTATCAACTCAGTGTGGCATCTCACATTAGAACCGAGGGTGCTGAGGCTCAACAAGGTCACTTCACTTGCCCAAGAGCCCGAGCCACTGTGTGGTGGGACAGCGGCCCTTCCGGGGCCTGACTTCCCTGCTCAGTCTCCGTGCGCTGTCCCCTGCCTTCTGATCTGTCAAGGACTGAGCAGGAGTGGTGCTCACCCTGTCCTTTCTGCTTTTGGACCAAATTATTTGAAACAGTTTTGAATTTAAACACAAAAATTGCAAGGCTGCTCTAAAGAACTACTGTGGCCACCATCCATCTCCTAATGGATCAGTGCACTTTGCCATGTGAGCAGAGCCAGTGGCTTATCCAGCCCCTCCAGGCAGAGCTACAGTTCTAGGATCCCTCCACGGAAAAGCAGTGACAGGCTATGAGGCCCATGTCTTTTACCAACACCTGCCCCAGAGAGGTTTTCTTCTCTTACTCCCATGTCCCAATGGGGCAACTATCTAGGGTATCCTAGCGCTGTGCCCTGCTGCCCAGCTGCCTCAGAGACACTGACAGCCAGTAATTCACCTAAATTACATTGATTGATGATTAATACCCTGAGGAAAGATGGTGAGCACACCAGCCCAAATAATTGGTTGTAGAGAAAGACCTGACCTGGTAGGGCTGGGGTCATGGAAGATTCATATAAGGAAGTTGTGGGGAGTGTTATTGGAAATGAGAGAGGGGCCAGAACAGAAGGACACAAAGGCAAATAGAGGAGTTTAGAGTTTGTGGCCAGTGGAGTGTTTAAGGTAGAGGACAGTAGAAAGTTCGTTTTCAGAGGTAGATATAAGACAAGATGAGAACAGGACTTCTGGGTGATGAGGCTGGTGGAGCAATTGATAGTGTGGAGGTGGTAGAATCAGAAAAGAGGAAGGAGACAGATGAATCTAGGCACCGATGACAAGAGTCTGACATAGTGTGCTGCCTGGAAGACTGAAGAGTGATGTTCATGACAAATCATGACCTGTAGTGTTCCCTTTTTTAAAGACTTGGTCTGGTGTTGGTATTAGGGTAATGTTGACCTCATGGAATCTGGTAGGACATATCTTCTCTGCTTCTATTTTCTGGAAGAGATTGTAGAGCATTGGGATAATTTCTTCCTTAAATGTTTGACAGAATTCAACGGTGAATTTATCTGTGCCCAGCCCTTTCTGTTTCAGAAGGTGATTAATTACTGACTCAACTTCTGTTAGAAGACCCTAGGACTATTCAGATTATCTATTTCTCTTTGTGTGAGTTCTGATAGATTCTATCATTAAAGTAAATGATTGGTTTCAAACATTAGGGCACAGAATTATTCAATATTCCTCTACTATCCTTTTAATGTCCATGGGATCTTTTTAATGTCCATAGTGACCGTCCTTCTTTCACTTGTCACATTAGTAATTTGTTTCTTCTCTCTTTTTTTCATGGTTAACCTGGCTAGGTTGTTTATCAATTTTACTGAGCATTTTAAAGAACTCACTTCTGGTTTTGTTGATTTTCTCTATGGATTTCCTGTTTTCAATTTCATTGATTTCTGCTCTACTTTGTATTGATTTTTTTGTATTTCCTAAGATTTCTCTGTATTAATGTTTTTACATTGGATTTAATTTGTTCTTCTTTTTCATAGTACCCTATGATGGAAGCTTTGATTATTGATTTTGATCTTTCTTTTTTTCTAATATATGCATTTAATACTATAAATTTTCATCTAAGCACTGTTTTTGTTGCATTCTACAAGTTTTTATTGTATTTACATTTTCATTTAGGTCAAGTATCTTAAACTTCTCTTGAGACCTCTTTGACCTTTGTTTTACTTAGAAGTATATTGTTTAATCTACAGGTGTTCTAGGATTTTGCAGCTATCTTTCTGCCATTGATTTCTTGTTTAATTCCACTGGGATCTGAGAGCACATTTTATATGTTTTCTACTTTAAATTTGTTAATGTGTGTTCTCATGGCCCAGAATGAACCTATCTTACTGACTGTTCCATGTAAGCTTGAGAAGAATGTTTGTTCTTCTGTTGTTTTGTGGAGTATTTATATAAATGCCATTTTTATCCAGTTGATTGATGGTGCTGTTTAGTTCAACTATGTCCTTACGATTTTCTGCCTGCTGATGTGTCTGTTTCTGATAGAGGGATGTTGAAATCTCTAACGACAGTTGATCCTTGAACAACATGGGGATTAGCCAAACAACCCCATGCAGTCAAAAATCCACATATAGCTTTTGACACCCCAAAAACTTTACTAATAGCCTATTGTTGACTGGAAATCTTCCTGAAACAAAATAGTTGATTAGCATCTATTTTGTATGTTATATATATATATATATATATATATATATGTATGTATTGTTGCAAGAAAATAAGCTAGAGGAAAGAAAATGCTTTTTCAAATTGTTGCAAATCTCCAAAAAGTTTCCCAACATGTTTATTGAAAAAAGAATCCATGTATAAGTGGACCCACACAGTTCAAATCTATGCTGTTCAAGGGTCAGCTGTGTATTAGTGCATCCTTGTGTTTCTCCTCACAGTTTGTTTTCGCATCATGTGTTTTGGTATTCTTTTGCTAGGTACTACAAATTAAGAACTGTTCTATCTTCTTGGAGAAATTATCCCTTTTTCAATATGTTACATTCTTCTTTATCTCTAATCATTCATTGTTCTGAAGTTTGCTGCGTCTGAAATTAATATAGCTACTCCAGCTCTCCTTTGATCAGTGTTACTGTTGTATGTATATCTTCCCCCCATTTTTTCACTTTTAATCTATGTGTGCCTTTTTATTTCAAGTGGATTTCTTGTGGACAACATATTGTTAAGTGTTTTTGTATCCACTCTTGCAGTCTATCTTTTAACTGGTTTAGTTAGATGATTGAGGTTTAAGGTGTTTATTGAATTCTTGGATGAACATCTACCACACTGTTTTAAATTCATTGCCCTTTTTCTTCTAGGTATTCACGTCTCAGTTCCCGCATCTGAAACCCCTGAAAATCTGATCTATATCCCATGGTTGTTGGGAGTGATAAGCAACATGGTTTCTAGAGTGCCTGATTCCACAAAAACTGCTTGTTAACAACTATGAATATGTGATATCTAAGCCTTGTACCTTTCTGATGCTTTAACTAGCACTTACAAAGTGGTGTAACATGCACTGTTTCGTCTGAGCAGTGCCGCCCTCCTGGGCCCCACTTCCTCGGGACCCCACCTCCCCTTGCTTTCTCAGAAATGGCACCTCTGCCAGTTTTCTTCCTCTCCTTTCAGCATGCAGCAGGGAGCCAGTTTCCTCCATGCAGGTGCTCTCAGCCACAGTGCCCATATTGGCCCCACAGCTCAGTCTCCTGCTTGCCTTTCAGATTCCCCCCCTCTTTTTAAAACCAAGAGCCACCTTTTTACATAAAGTGCATGAATTAGTCTGTTTGAAACTCCACTTAATTCATCATCTCCACTCATCTACTTGGTCATGTCCTCAGCTTCTTTGTCACCAGGATCCACTTCTGCTCAGATTTTCTGAAAACTGAGCTTTTACGCCCTGACATCCACCTCCTCTTGGTCACGTTCATCCTTATCCCCTGGCACTCGCAATATCTCCTCCTAGACCTGCGTGCTGCCTGGTGTCAGCTGTCAGGCCATGATCTCACCTAGGAAATTAGAAGAGACCCATGTTCTCTGGTGGAGGTGACACAGTGAGCACCAATGTTGCACCATGGAGCTCTCAGAGGGAGCATCCAGCCCCAGACCCACTGGCTCAGTCTCTCTCTCCTGCTCACTTTCCACGGAGGACTAAGCATAAAACTAGGCTCCATGTCAGATTATTTGGCCAAGGATAGTTTCCTTCTGTCTGTTCTGGCTGCCTTAACAAAACTATCATAGACTGGGTAACTGATAAACAAGAGAAATTTATTTCTCAACTTTCGGAGGCTGGCTAGTGCATGGTCAGAGTGCAGGTACACTTGGTGCCTGGTGAGGACCACTTCCTTGTTCACAGATGACTTGGTTCTTGGTCTGGCCTCATGTGGTGGAAGGGGCAAGAGAGATCCGTAAGGCCTCTTTTGTAAGAGCATTAACTCCATTCAGGATGTTCTGCCTTCTAAAGGTCCTGCCTTCAGATACCATCACATTAGTGATAAAGTTCTAGCATGTGAATTTTGGAGGGATGTACACTTTCATTCTGCAGCACATTCTTTTAATGCCCTATATTTTATTTGCACTCCCCTCCACCCTGTAATTCTTTCCTGGTGTCCAACATTTGTCTGTTTCTCGCCACAGCTTTTCTTATTCATATTTCTAATTTTTTTCCAATTTCAGCTGACCAGAATAGTGATTAAGATGTCATATGCAATGACTGCAAAATCCCTATTTAGTCCTTTATTCTCCTGGATAATCACATACATGTACAAACGATATTGGTATCATATGTCATATACATTATAGATACTTGGGGTGGATATTATATGCAGTGTACATATACAAAGTACATTATGCATCAATGCAAGTTTTATAAATTCTCTACCTTTAGTCTTCCCCAGATCATTTCTCTCTTGAGGTTTTCCATCACCTTGACTTGCTTGATCTCTACAGTCTCATCCCTCCCGTCAGCACAACCTGTGTTCAGCATAATACCATTGGATTTGTCTTCTCTACCTAGGAATTATTTCTATCTGCCAGTTCTAATTTTCTTGAAAATACTTTTTTTGTTGATCTTTCTTACACTACACAACAATGATAAGATTGCTAGCAGATGAACATACTCCCAACTGACAAAAATGGGAAAACAAAAAGGACATATCAAAGTGTGTCCATTGACTTCACCACATTCGTGACTTTGAGATGGTCTTTCTTGTTCTGGCCACTTCTTTAGTCCATGTCCCACCAGTGGATCCTGGCGGCTGTGGCTTTCTTTACAGAGCTGGGTTTGGATGTTTCTGTTGGAAAGAGGAAGCCTCCCAAGCCAGAGGGTGATGTTTCTGAGGGCACAGCTGCTGAAAAGCACAAGTGCCCAGTGTCTGGCTACATTAATGCCTTGAGTACCAGAAAAGAGAAGATTCTCCAAAGAAAAGTGCTGTTCAGAAAATGGAGACCAGCATGCAGATCCCCTGGCCTTCAAGCTTAGGGAACTGAGGTAATTGTGTCTGTGGATTTTCGAGGCACTTATTTTTATTGCTGTCTATCTAAGATAATAGCTGTTCTCCCCTGTTCTCACTCTTTCTCCTATTTCACTCCAGTAGCGGATGCTGCTCCCTCTTTTCCAAGGGGGCAGCCTCTCACCACCATTTCCTTTTGCACTCTTATCTCTGGTATGCTCTCACTGCTGCTGTCCTGATGGTCCTTCTCACCGTTCCTCAGTCACAGGACACCCGGACCCATGGTGCTCCCCATCAGAAGAGCATTACACACTGCCTTCCCTTCCCTCTCCCCCACCTCCGAGGCCTCTTTCTTCCAGGTGCTTTGTACAAATGAGTCACTTGCACAAGGATCCTCCTCCTGGGTATTTTAAGGAACCAAACTAGGATAACCCTTATCCCTCAGCTTCTCCATGTGAATAAGAAGTACTGAAACTAAAGAGAAAGAGCCCTGATTGTGAAAATTAATAGAGAACTTGTCTTAAGGTGGGAGTGCCGTAGTGGCCTGGTGTCAGGTTTCTCCTCAGCCCCAGATGCACAAGCCTGTGCTAATCTGCGTGGGGCCTCCAGTGACTCAATATGTGCCTATGAGGGCCTCACTGGAGCTGACATTAGGTGGAGGACAGTAGATGGCACCCTACAGGGACACTGGCCAAAAGTAGAAGCAGAGGCCAGGTTTCCCAAGTGCGCACATATGAGGTGCTTAGCCACTCAGCCCTCTCCCCTTTATTGCCATTACTACCCTTGCATATTCAGTTAAGAACCTGGAACAATGAACTCAGTTGGAAATTGAGGCAGAGAATACAGGAGAACATTGTAGTAAATTAACTCTGGGCCAATTTTAGGAAAACCCATGGGGAGGCCCAAGAATACAAGACAATCTTTGCCTTAGACAAGTCCAATTAAGAAGGAAAGTGATTTACCTGAGACCGTCAGAAAGAAGACAAAATCTCGGGCCAATGGGAAAGAAACTCATGCTGGGAGAATTCGAGAGGAAAAAGAATGGTGTGAAACAGGGTAGGTCCAGTGAGCAACTCCAAATCATACTATCATAAAATAAATACCGAGTGAGTGTTGAGCTAATAAGAATGCCTTGTCCCAATTCCTTGCAATCTTGTTTCAGGCATTCTGCAGTGAGGTTTGTGTCAGTATTTTTACAAAGCCCCACGAATGGGCATCTAGCTATTAGAAGGTCTATGGATTTAGCAGGATCTCAGTAACCAGCATAGAGGTGTCCTGTGTGTGTGGCTATTTCATAGAAAAGCTGAACATCAGCCATTGATGGAATCAGCATTCCTCTCTCAACAGAACTGTTTCTACAACTGGGGAAAACAGAAGAGAAAAAAGATAGAGGGATGGGTTAGACATATAATCTCTGTATTTGTATGTCAGTCTCTCAGTTTAGTTATAATACCAGATACAGGGAGAAAGAACTATTATGTTAGAAACTCAGTGTGCCAAAATAATGCCTCCCTTGTCTATAAGTAGTGGAATTTAATGCTTTCTTTTCTACTTTTAAAATGAAGCCTGCAATTCACGATTCCCTAAATTGATTTCACAGCCCACTAATTGGTTCAAACTGTATTTGAAAATACTATTTTTTATCAAATTTTGTCTTTATACAAAACCCCAATAACAAATGTGAGGTCTCCTCGTTTATCCTTTTTATGCCCTTCTTTACTCTAGCACTAAATACATAGAGAGACTCTTTCCTTAGGGAGATGTTTGGAAAAGAAAGTGAGGAGAATTTAGTGTAACTAGATCAAACGCTTTTTCACCTTCACTTCTGAGTTTTGTGGGTCTACCTATTGAGCATATTCGTAGAAACAGCCTAAAGTGTATCCTTGTGTGAAACCCCCTTCAGAGAATGTTGGTGTCCATGGGATGAAAATGAGTGGGTCCGTGGTTACACTCCCTGCTTTCGTTTCACTAACTCCATTTTGAGCTATTTGGAGCAGGATTTCTCAGCCAAGCCTTATACCTGTCCAGCCCAGCTGGCCTGACAGTGGCTACTGCCTGCTGACACCTTTCCTCTCCCTTTTCCCAAATGTATGCAAAGGGCCAGAGGTCTGTGATCCCAGGGTTGTCAGTAAGAGGTCACATGACTTTGGTTAGTCTTCAGTCCCTTGGCACCATAGCCCCTTACGTGTAAAAGGTGGAACTGGACGTGGATATGTTTCTGTGGTCCCAGCTGGCTCTCACATTCTAGGACTCTCTCCACAGCCTGCTCCTCCTCCTCAAGACTGAGGCAAGAGCTAGAGGAGGACATGTTTTCCGCCAAGGGTCCCCTCGTTCCAGAGCGATCTGTTTCTGAATGTGTGTGACAGGTGCTCAACCAAGCACATCTCTCCCTGGAGGTGTGAGAAAGCCATCGCTTCACTCCAGATGAAGGCTATCAGGAGAGAAGTGGCTGCTGAGCAAAGGGCAGCAGGCAAGTGGCCAAGGCTTTGCAGCAGCCTGGAGCAGCTTCCAGACAGGGTGAGGAATAGGGCCCCTACATCCTGTAACACAGGCTGGCTGTGACTTTAGGGAGGTTTTCTTCTAAATCGTGGTTCTCACTTTCTCCTTCAGCCAGCCTGCAGCTCCCCCTTCAGCCCCTACCCTCTGCAGGAGCTCCTGGCCTCTGTCACCAAGTGCACATCTCTCTAGGCTCAGCTCTCACCAGATCCTGACAAACACTTGCATTTGATTTGTTTTTTTCTTTCTTTCTTTTCACAGATACAAAGCACTCCTGGAAAGATGAACTGAAACATTCCTCACCTGAAAAGCAGCTTTTCCACAGGAGGAAACAAAATCTAAAACAGCAAGTCACTAAAAAACACTGAATTATATACTTTAAAGTGGTGAATTTTGTGGCATTAGAATTACATTTCAATAAAAGTAAACATGAAATCTTAATTATTTATGTTCTCCAATCCCTAGCTCAACTGTCATAAAGGCCAGCTGTAGTTACTACCCTATGTTTCAAGAATTTCCCAGCATCCTTTTAATATACTTCTCTTTTGCATTAAATAGCTTGTGGGAGTTATCTTCTTTGCAATCCAATAATTTATAACTAAGAAAAGAATCATGAGACACAAGTTTAAGGCAGTTTGAAATGAGTGACTAAGTGACCTCAATACTCAATGCAAAAGGAGTTCTGGATGCAGTAGAAAGCTGTTTAAGTGTTTTAAGCAGGAGCCTAAGATGCTGAAAACAGTCTAACAGGAAGATGAATCTGGCACCAGTGTGTGGTGTGAATTAGCGGCAGACTCTTCCTGCCCTCAGATTGCTCCTGGAGCTGCTTGTCAAGCACACTATTCTCCACAACTGCGTGTAGAGTATTTCACTAGAGTAATCCCTAGAGATCTGGACATCGATGATAGAACTATCTACTGGTTTTGATTAAAGAAAATCCCTTATTTTCTTCAAATGTTGTTTTTGTCTGATGGAAATCTCTGTCACAGAATCATAGCACCAAGTTTTAGAGAAGGGAGGAAAGGTTTATCTCATTTTTTCATTTTCAGGTAAGGGAAGTTTGGTCGGGACAGAGTGAGGTAATAAATCACTTTTTAAGGGTCATAAAACATTTTTCAGGCTTAGGAAAAAAATGTTAGAGATTTATTTTCAGCTCATTCTTATTTCCTCTTTATTTTTAATCTTCAGTGATTCTGAATGTTACCTTGATTTTACTTAACACCCTTATATTTTGTTTTGCTTCCTGAATATGTTTTACTTTCTCCCTAGATTGTAATCTTTGAAGGTAAACACCTTATATTTCACTCATTTATTACTGAATTCCTCACATTGTTTAAAATAGCATGACGCATGCAGTCAGTACTCAGTGACTGAATTGATGAGTGAATGGATACCGTCAAGGAGGCACAGCAGCAACGCTTAGACAGGCTACGGCTTTAATTCCCTGAAAGACATAGAAGCATCATAGATTAGCAAAACCCTGGAGAATCTGACATGCGTTCCAGGTTTATAGTTACTATAAGGGGAGCTCTGAGGCTAAATATTTGTCTGAACAAAGTTAATCAGGTTTCGTGGTACATCAGGGAGGGTAGTCAGAGCTCTGCTCCAGCACCACGCACTGTGAAGTTCCGGAAGTCACGGACCGGATTTAGGTCACTTTTCACGGAGCAACCTCTGAAAGCGATGCTTTATGTAACATACTTCTAGAAGTGTTTACCTTTCAAGGTGAACACTGTATCTTAATTCCCATGTTTCTGTCTCTGTTAAGGATGGTAGCAACCAATGTGTCTGCTAGCTTCTTCTACTAGTCCCCCAGGGACCCTATTCACTCATCTAGTAGGAGTAGAACTCCTAATAAAGATGTGCTTGGTTTTTTTTCACATTATCTGAACTGTTTCCATTAGTGGTGCTGAGTGAGGTGCTAGCGTTTTAAATCAGTGATTTCCACAAAGTAATAAAAATATCCAGTTATTTTCTGATAACATTTTTATCTCTCAAGAAAGAACCTACAAAAAGTATCAGAAAAAATATACTGCATTTCTCATAAAGCTAAAATTACTTAAAGAATTCTTATTCTGAGACCCTCCATGTTTTCATTATTTTAAAAAATGTATTTTTTACTTATATTTAATTTATTTTTATTTACTTTTCTATTATTGAAATATAGTTGATATACAATATTATATTGGTTTCAGATATGTAACACAGTGGTTCAACAGTTACCCATTTAGTAAACCCTTACTGCAACTAGTGCAGTAACTATCTGTCAACACAGAAAGATGTTACAACATATTCTTTCTTTTATACATTGATGTTGAGAACTCAAGGAAAAATTTTTTCATTTGTTTGGTGTGTTGATTTTGCTTGTTTTTGCTTACTTAATGAAGTAAAAAGTCGGTAATTTGGTTCAATTCCCTTGAAAGCTTTTTCAAGGTCTGTGGTTTCTGGTGTGGCTTCTCAAAGCTGGGAACCACAGCAGATGCTCATGACTGGGCACGTACTTCCCTACCTTCCTGGTTGAGTCTTTGGCCTTCTAAAAATGTTCATATTTTTAAATTAAAATTGTGGTATTAAAACCCCAAGAAAAAATTTCAGTCCAATTGATTGAATTTTTAAAGTGAATTCTTTAAAGTATATTCAATTGGCATAATGTAAGACAGAAGGTTCCTGACTTACCTCTGGTGAAGATGTCATTTTTCTTTTTTCTCATATATTGGCAGTTCCTAAATGGCTTGAATGAATTAGTGCAGTTCAAAAAAAGTTCTTTATGTCTAAGAGAACCATCTGAGTAAATTTGGTCTTTATTTAACCAAAGCACATTACTTGTTCTTCAAAGTCATCAAGAAGCTGTAATACTGAGTTTCACTTTCTCCTTGTAGAAGGGAAGGCAAAGGAATATCAACAGAGAAAAAGCTAAAATTTTATAGTCCAACATATTTCCCTAATATATTAATAGTGAAAATTGACAAGAATACTATTTCCTCTGTCACACACCTATGAGTAATGAAGGAAAACACAGTAACATTTAGACAATGGGTCAGAGCACACTTGGAAGAGGATCATAAATCTGACCTTGCTGTCAATAATCAGCAATGGTATCCCTTGCTCTGACATGTGACCACCTCTCCGGAGACAAAAAGCCTAGGTAGGTTCAAACAAATCCTGCTTCCAAGACTCCAATAACAATACCTATTGTCCTTATTGACAGGTAGAGAAATAAAATGGAGCTTAATTGATTCTCAGGTTATCACAGATAACAGCACTATGGAGAAGACTAAGAATAAGTAAATGGGCCTCCCACAATTTGCTGACACACTGCTCCGATGCAGCCATCAATGTTCTTCTATTCCTTGTTCCTCATCTTGCACTTCTGTGTTCTGTGACTTGTCGTCTTGAGCATAGCCACGCCTTCTTTTTTGTGCTCAGATGACTGGTTTTCTGTTGTTCCCCTTCTGTATGGTCTGCTTCATTCATTGATACTTTAAAATGTGTTGGGGATATTTAATAACTCCCCTTCCCCTGCTGGAAGAGAATTCACCTTATAATATCTTAATTTTCACCCAACCTTACTAAACTTTTCAGATTCAGTAATGATCTGTCAAAAAGGATACTGTCAATTGTGTTTATCATGATTTTGTCATCCTACTACTATTTATCTTTGTAAGTCTTCAACTGTGTGTTCACCCACGGCAGTGAGTGGTGATGTCCCATGAAGAGAAATATTTGACATGGACAGAGGGTTCTAAGAAAAAATGAGCAATGTCTGAGAGACTCAAAATATAATTATTCTAATGCTACATTATAATATGAGACAAAATGTCCAACACTATGCTAAAGGATGAATTCAATTCTTTATAATGCACTGCCTAGATAAAATCTGCCTGAGTGCAAAGATTCAATTGTGCTAGGATATTTCAACTATCAGAATTGGACCATAAAAATCAAGCTTTCAGGAGTTAGACTAATTTGGTAGATGAGATTAGTTTCTCTACCTTTAAACCTTTCCCACCCACAACCACGCACACACATACACCCCAACTAAGTTTCTGAGACTTCTTGTGATGGTTTTGCCTCCCATTTCACTCATATGTACCTAGCAGTCCCCTCCACCAACAAGAACTAATATGACTATAAGAACTAATAAGAACTAATATTAACATCAGCTAACATTTTTCAATGTGATGCTATTAGGCAAATGATCAAAGGAATAGGAATTTTAACATATAAATGGAGGGAGGGCTATTTGGCAGGGCAAATTACCTTGCTTCTGTCCTCCTATTACTCAAAATGCAAATGATTGATTGAGATTCTCTGTGTCATCATCATTTCAATTATATTCTATATTTTTACTAATTAGAGTTATACTCTAAAATTGAGTAAAAAGCATCATAGTATGGCAAGACCCAATCCTTGGGAATGACAGTCGTCCAGCTGGAATGTTCTGGAACTATTACTCAGGTACTAAAGGAGTTGACAAACACCACACTTCAATCCCATATGGAAAGCAATATGAATCAAGTTTGTTTGCGGCTGAGGTTGTGCCATTTGTTGCCTTCATTTTATTGTTAATTTTTAAATCTCTTGTAGGCTAATACATGCCTGTAGTTCAAAGGTCAAACAGTAAAAAAAAGGTTTACAATGATAAAACAGCAGTTTTCTTACCTACCGCAGACTACCCCTAAACCCGCTCCTCAAAGACCACTTTAAGCTTTTTTCATTTTTTTCCTTCTGGTATTGACTTTCATGTTTCTTAAGACTGTGTTTCTCTGCTATTTCTTGAATTATGTTTTAGGTTGGTATCAGGTTCTGGAGAAAGATAGCATGGTGGCTCTAGGCTAGTGATTTAACATTGCTGTACATCAATTCATCATCTGTAAAAGGGACAATACCAATATGTGGAGACCAGCTCCACAAACCAGCTGAACCTGAGTGGAGTGGGTGAGCAGCTTTAAGGAAACAGAGAAGGATGTAAGAAAGACACGGAAACCAAAGCTGGGATCAGCAGGTTCACTGCCTGCTGATAGCAGACAAGTGACACAGTTTATTTTCTGATCACCACTTATATACACAAGCTCATAATGATGTCACTTCCAGGCTGATCTCACATCCGATGTTGTCACTTCTGCTTCCAGTGATCTTACTTCCTGGTGATGTCATTTCCAGGGTCGCATCACATCTGGCCCTCCACACCTCCCCCTTTTTTACTTTATTAAAAATGAAGGTAATAGATAGATATATAATAAAGATTATAGAAAGTCTTTCCTTAAATATCCCATTTTTAACATAGTCCTTCCCTTAATTTCCCATATAAAGATTTAATTTCCCATAGTGAAATAGAAAAGTAGGATTATAACCACAGCCTGGTTCTCAATCTGAGCCGAGCATGGGCAGCAAAGCAGCCATAAGAGGAGAAGATTTCTCTCAGAGATGGTGAAGATTC